GGGCCACGTGGTCAAATACAAACCGTTATTTAAATGTGTGCGTTTGTGTGCACGTGCAGTGTGTATGTGTGTACCTGGATCTGTTGCAGCAGTCGCTCTATGATTCCCAGCAGGATGTCCCAGGTGACCACCTGCAGCTCTTTGCCGTACTTCTTGATCAGTCTGGTGATGGAGAGGACGATTTCATAGGACACCACCTCATTGGCACACGACATGGCCTGAGTGGCAGAGGAAGGGTTAGTTAGCAAACGTTATCGCAACTGATAATTACATTAGAATCAAATACAGTCATCTTTTTTTTTAAACTACCTTTCATTTAGTTATTTTTAGTGTATCTTTTAATTTATTATTGTTTAATTAGGAATGATAACGGTTTCTGTCACACTAAGGAAGATTCATCCTGGTCTTCAAATGGTTGTACTTGGCACAAACGTGTACAATGTGACATCTAGTGCAACCAACTGACTACCTCATCCTACGCCATCTTAACATATGCAGCCATGAAAATCTTTTGGATGAAAGAACATTATGAATTAGACATGAACTGTTGGGAATGGATCAATACACTGTGTGCGTCCTACCTTGTAGAAAGATGGTAAAACAAGGGTCGGTGTGTTTTTGAGGGCAGGGAGTCTGTGCGCGCCCCACAGTGCCATCCCAACAAAGAACACAGCTCCTCTCAACAGCGGTGCATCCTCCATGTACACTCTGGCGGACGAGGCGAACACACGCACAGAACAGAAGAACCATCACAACAGTGTACGACCGCACCGCCGGGTCAGAATTATTCCGAAACTACTCAATACCTCTCCTCCATTATGCGGCACATGGTGTAAATGGCACTGTGGCCGAGGTGAGTTCCCAACACCTTCCTCATCAACTGCAGAAGCCCAGAGCAGAACAACAAACAACAGAGGAGAGACAATCAGTCAGATCAGAATGATGCAACGAGTAATACAGTGGGAATATGCGCCTTTCTCTCACCTTCCAGCAGGATTCACAAAACTCCTTGAAGTTGACAGTTCGACATAGTGTGATGATGAAGACCGTGAGAGAGTCTGAGGGCAGGCAGTTGTAACACACCACTGCATCCAGTACTTGTAGCGCCACCTGGTCACATCATACATTGATTGCAGTAGAACACACGGGAGCAGATCAGAACATACGCAAAGGCCCGCAGTCCAACCTCAGCAGACACCAGTGCTTAAATACACACCAACCACGTCAACTATATCGACACAGGGCTTTGAAGAATAAACAATCCAAAGCTAAAACTACTCTGAGGTTTGTAAATTCAGCAGAAGTTGGGACGACAACAACAGAAAGAACAATTACAAACCTCTTTCTCAACATTGTCATTTGAATGTTTGAAATGAAGCCTCACATGCCCTTGAAAGACAATGTGGATGTTTTCCTTTTTTCTTGTCAGACTGTTTTTATGTGATAAAAAGTCTTATTTGCAGATCACGTGGTTAAATATTTAAGGAATTCCAGCTCGGCATAAATGTAGTCAGTGCTATAAGAGTCTGTTGTCACTAATTATAAAGTCACCTCAAGACATCTGAGAGCTTTCTCTGTTCTCCAATCGAGGCAATTTTCAACTTTTCACAAACGTTTCAAAAACTGCAGAAAATCTCAATACTGACTGAAATCAGGTTTAGGTTATTCACCATTTATCCCTGCAGGGAGAGTCAGCACCCACTATAGAGTCTACAACAAACTATTTGAACAAAGAATGTGTTGACAGTTTCTACAGTGGACACTTAGTCAGTAGCTATGGTTGCTTCGGCTTTACAGAAATAAAATTAAAAATCCCACCTCAATATCTGTTGAAGATGTTGTTCTATTGCACAGGAGACAGATTTTTCTTCAGGGAGCACAACAACAAAAGCAAAAACATTAATAACATATTCTTGGGGGAAAAAACAGTGTAGTCTGTCTGCATTTGACTTACTGGACCATGATGGAGACATGTTGGTCCAGGTAACAGCTGTTGAACTTCACCAGATTTACGAGAACGTGGAGAAAGTCAGAGTTGAGACCGATGTCCATCCAAAGGAGGACAAAGCGTGCTGGAGGAGAGGAAATAAAAGGACAATAAATAACCATAATAAGACAGAGAAGATAAAACAATAGGAGTGTAAAACACTGGCCAAGCTTTTACAAGTAACATTACAAACATTACTACAAAAGTGGTTCATATGGGCTTAAAAAATATATACAACTAACTAGTACCCAAAATAATACCACCCATCTTTTTCACACGTTTGGCAAGTCATTTCTTTTTAATACCTATGTCCTCTTCCAGGTAAGTGATGTCTTTTCCATTCTCCGTTAAGGCCTTGAAGACTTCCAGTCTACCAGAGAGGCCCTCGTTGCGCGGTTGATAGTCTCTGATCAGGTTGAAAAAGTAGGCTCTCAAAGGCCCGAGCCGCTCACCCTTCAAAACAAAACAACGAGCAGGAAGTTGTAAAATGAAAGGAAGTATAATCACAATTCAGATTTGCTCGCGTGCGTATTGTGTCTCTGTACCTGTCCGTGTATAATGGCCCTCAACAGCTGCAGGACTGCCTGTCTGGCATCCGCGGGCTGCTCTGGAGTCAACATGTCCTCCACAGCTTTCCATACAGCCTCCACTGCATTCTAAAGAAACACGTAGGTGTACACACACACACAGATTGTGAGTCGCACAGAAGGTAATGGATAGTGCTGTCAAAAGTAAATATGTCACAACTGTAGCGGACTCACTTCCTCAAATTTTTTTGTTTTGGCAAGATCACAGACGTGGTTCATCATGCGGACGCGGTTGCTCAGAGCGCAGTCTGGTTGGAGCTCCTGAAAAACATCAATGGGAAAAGTAGAGCCCATGACACAAGGCATGATGGGGAACCCAAACAGGGTGAGCTTGAGTGTGCACGAACATGCACAGACGCTTATCTCTCCCGCACACCTTGATGATGTCAGTCGTAATGATGAACTCCGATGGTCTGGTTTCACTCTGCTTGCTCGGTGGGCGGGCGGGTCCCAGACCAAGCATCCCCTTCACCTTGTCCCTCAGGCTCTCCTTGCTCTGCTGCTTGTTCATGGCTTAACGGATGCTTGGCGGTCTACGCAGGCTGGGACTGACGGCTGTTTGAACAAAAGGCAACATGCATTTAAGACATTTTGTGTTGCTGCAAAGCAAAAAGAAATACCCAAAAGAGTTCGACAAAGCACTGAGAGTCAATTCAGCCAAATAAAAATAAAAACATGCTCTTAACAGTTCTCATAGGGGCTCTCGCTTTTATTATAATTATTGCCACTCAAAACTGTGACTGTGTATTAGACAGAGACGTTGAATTATTGCAGCAGAATCACTTCAGCGCACATCACTGTTTGACAGTTAACGGAAAGTAGGAGTAGCATGTTTACTCTTTACGCACGCATTTTTGGGATGTGTTTACTGCCATTCCCCATCCACTCTCCAGACCCTCCAGTTCCCGAGCAAAGTCTTCACTGCTGAGCTACAGCCGCTCACAACATTTGTCTAAACCGTGTTCAACTCTTTAATTATCCAATTTCAGGATAAATCTCATTTGCGGGTGCTGTACTGAAAAATGGACGTTTAGAAACATGTATTTGTTATAGATGGTGTTCTCCTGTGCTTTGGCATATTGTCATTACAAGTGTTGCATGTTATTGGATTACAATACCAGGTCTGTGTGGTTTTTTTAAAAAAGCCTTTAAAAGTTCAACAAACAACTTGTATAACTTTAAGCATGGCTGCTGTTTGGGAGAATCTGCTCTAATGTGGACTTGACAGCGACCGAGGGGATGACGAACAACGCCCGTTCTGTTTCAGCTCAACAACAACAACAACAACAAACACGTCGGTGCCCGGTGGCCTCCGACCGGACCGGACTGACGTCACATCTGTGAACAATTGACAAACAATCCACCATATAATTATTAGGATAAATGTCCGATGGCGCTATTGAGCCCGTTAGCTACCCTTCATATTCCATGTCACGCGCTATTTGCGTTCATCTGTAGCTTTTTTTTAGGGGTCGGGTAGCTTTGTAAAAACAGAAATAAATCAAATAAACTCCTCTCACCTCGTTGGAGCAGAGTCGGGTCGGGTTTCATTAGCGAGCAGCTTTCAGCCGACACAGCCGCCCATTGCTAAACTCATTGTTTGTTGCTGGGAGCTGGTTCTTGTCCAGGCTCAGATCTTCACTCCTGAACCGGATGACACACTAATGATGCGACGGGAGCCACTTCCGTTAAAAACACGTCGGGTTCTATTACTGACGGGAAATGTAGTTTTAAGCGAGCTAAACGCCTACTATGCTAAAGCCCCGTTGTTATTTTAGGTTAAAATGCATACGCCAAATAGGAAAATAACACCTGTGCTATAATAAGCCCCCTTCTCTGTTTCCAGACGAACTTACAAAACTGCTTTCAAGTAAAATAAGTAGTATGCCGCTAAAAACTACAACGTCACCCGACGGTTAGCTTGACTGACAGCTAGCTAGCTGACTGGGATAACGACGCTGAAGCTGGTTCCACGTTGGAGCAACAAGCCGCTCCGTCACCAGGCTGCCTGCGGGAGGAGCTTTGACGAAGTTAATGTCTTACATGTTGTGTTGCTTTGAAGAACTCATATTTGTGGCGTTACTGGGGTTCGAGGCTTATACATTATGCGAAACCAGATGTAGTGAATTGTTGCTGGGGTAAATATGGAGATAAAAATAGCATGATTGTATCTTTGAAGCCCCTTATTGGTGTAAACGTAAGTATTCTAAATACTGTGAACATATTATATATGTGAATTTTGCAATCATTAAGAGCACATTATATTTAGTGTTTGACTGTCATAGGAATTGAATTGAAATTATTTAATTCGGAACCGTAGTCATTTAAATTGTGGAAGTTTAGAAGATCAATATTATTTATTTGTACATAATACAAAGACATTTGTAAAAGCTTGTAATTGAATATCAAATATACATCCACACTGTATGCCTGGTGCACTTCAATGTAATGTTATCCTCTCTATATTCCAAAGATACTATACATGCAAAACATAAGACTAAGCAACACAATGAGCTCTACCTCTATAGCTAAATACATTAGAACATTTTGTATTTCAATTGTACAATTTATTAGTGTAGCCGTTGCGGTAAACTTAAAATAATCGTCAATTCACTGTTATTAACATATACATAAACCAATGATCTATACAGCGTTTTAAAAGCTAAAGATTACATTATATTGAACGTATACTACTAATGTAAAAGTAATTTGTTCGTTTTAAATAGTATTTCGTGTTTGTTTTCACCAAGTTGTTTTGGGATTCATTTGAGAGAAAGAAAACCCTGGTCCCCACGTGACCAGAATCTACGAATGAGAAAGTAGCTTCAGGTCGCTCTAAATGCAGCACGAGGACCCGTCATGCCGTCCAGTGCGTCACTATGACCTCTCCTTATTTCAGGCACAGCGGGTCTGTCCTTACGCGCGGGGGTGATCGAACAGCTGCGAGCTCTCTCCGGTCCAAACTTACCAGCAGGCGCAGTAATGTGGGTCCAGTTTCCTCTGTGGCTGTGAAGGTGGAGGAAGAGGAGGAGGCGAAGATCGTTGAGCAAAGACCCTCCTCGGTCCCCTTACCAACGGGTAATGTTTACTTCAGACTACTCAGGTCAGCTGAACATGGACACTCAACAGATTTGGAATCAGCTCCTCCATCCTCTTCCCCTCCCCCTGTGCTCCTCCAGGCCGCTGCCAACCTGAAAGAGAAACCTCACCATCGTCTTCCCAGTCCCGCAGGAGGACACAGCTCAAAGTGGAATATGACACGGATGAAGGTGCGGAACACTGGGAACCTCCCGGCTGGAGGAAACAATGGGGACACATTCGCGAGATGAGGAGCGGCCGCGATGCACCTGTAGATCAAATGGGAGCAGAGAAATGCTACGACTCACAGGCTCCTGCACGTGTAGGTGTGGTTCAGTTGTTTTTCAAAGGCTACGTTACTGTTAAAAGTCATTCATCTTTCTCCCCCTGCTCTTCTTCGCTGTTGCTTCAGGTGAGACGTTTCCAGGTGTTGGTTTCCCTCATGCTGTCCAGTCAGACTAAGGACCAGGTGACAGCGGCAGCCATGAAGAAGCTCCGAGCTCACGGCTGCACCGTAGAAAATATACTCGCTACTGACGATGAAGCCCTGGGAAAACTCATCTACCCCGTCGGCTTCTGGAGGGTAATGCAGAAAACGTCTTTATGTGTTTACATGCTTCCACATTCTCGCCCTCCTTCCTTGTTTTTTTTTTTGGGGGGGGGGACCTTAATGAATCATTTTCCCTGCGTTTCCTCTCTAGACTAAGGTGAAGTATCTGAGGCGGACGTCGGCCGTGCTGCAGAAGGACTTTGCAGGGGACATCCCGGACAGCGTGCAGGGGCTGATCGGCCTGCCGGGAATTGGACCCAAGATGGCTCACTTGGCTATGGACATCGCCTGGGACCAGGTGTCCGGCATCGGTGGGAACAAACTCCTGAAACGATCACTTACAAAATCGAATGTAATAAAATAGGTTCCAATGGAGCAGCTCCGGTTCGAAAACTGTTTCAGTATAAAACATGAGGTTGATACAGAAGACATGTGTGGACTAGGTGTATTCAACCTCATCATTTACTGTTCAAATTTATTGTAACATTTTTTGCGTTCAGGCGTGGACACACACGTGCACCGTATCTCCAACCGCCTGGGCTGGCTCAAGAACCCCACCAAGAACGCAGAGGGAACACGCAAGGCCCTGGAGGAGTGGTTGCCCAGGTAACGGCATGATTTATTCCCCTCAACTCCGGGGATCAGAAATCATTGAATGCAGGTTTAACATGTGGTGATGCTCCTCTTTCGCTCCGCCGTATAGGGAGCTGTGGAGCGAGATCAACTGGCTGCTCGTGGGTTTCGGTCAGCAGGTTTGTCTTCCGGTCAACCCTCTCTGCTCCGTGTGCCTGAACCAGTACAGCTGTCCATCCGCCCACAAGACCTCTCCTACAAAGAGGCCTAAAACCGGATCCCCTCTGGCTCCAAATCCAACCTCCTCCGTCACAACAAAAACTGAACAACCCGCTCTTAAACATGAGAGGACCAAGAAGGAGCCACTCGCCACTCATGTTTCTCCCACAGCCCAGAGGAGGCTAAGAAAATAAGGCTGTTATATATATATATATATGTTCAGGTATATTAAAGGTTCAGATTTACATATTGTTTAGTAATTTGAAGGCGTTTTACACTGTGCCTCTGCTGTCACATATAATAAGATTAAATATTTTTATTACTGTTGGTGCTTTGTTTAGCTTTTTACTATATAATACAATAAATGTTGAAGTCATGTTTAAAAAATGGTCCTTTATTATGGCAAGAGAGTTTGCATGATGCTTATGGCATTTTAATAAAACACCTGTCTGTCCTGAATAAAAGAAGATATTCTTTTTGAATTGGATAAGGGCAGGTAAACCTGAGCTCATATTTCGTGAACCATGAAATCCTCCATTACGCAACCGTTCTTTTATTGATCTCGAGGCGGCAAAAGAGGGCAAATGGGGCCGATTACTGTTCTCGGGTCACAGGTTCGTCTCCGCGGGGACAAGGCTCGCCCCCGCTAGAGGGACTCTTAACAAGAGCAAATATCCTCGTCCACACTTGACTCATATCCACAGACAAATGCTTTCTTTAGACGCGTAAATCCACGGCAGCGCGCGGAGGCTGCGCAGCGCGCACAGGTGTGCGCTCCAGGGGACGTACGAGGCATCTGTTGTTGACGCCTCTTCACTCGCGCGCCGGCTCGGACAGGAGGACACGCGCTCAGCTGACGAGGAGAATTAAGTGTTACGCGCGAGGAAAAGCTTTCTAATCTCTGATCTCTTGGATTATTCCTCCAATGGGTGGGATTTAGCCACCGGGTTTTGTCTGGTGTTTTACGCACATTTGCGCCCCTGGCAGTTACATAATGGAATGGACGCTCATTACTTTTAGCACTTTTTTTATTTTTACTCTCTTAAGCAATTGTGCATTATGATCATGCTAAATGATTGCTAAATGATTTCGGATCTTTCGGTCAGCGGAGCGCAAAGTCGTACATTGGATTGAAAACCGGAGACTTCCCATCACCCTCGGGACAAGCACCTGTCTACTGTCCCGAGATCCGACCCCTGCCCTCCTTTGATGCTCTGCGATGGAGAGTGAGTTGAGACCTCGGCTGTGTTTCCTGACGAAAGGGGCGCGCGGATACGGGTTTCACCTGCAGGGCGAGAGGAACCGAGGCGGACAGTTCATCCGCAAAGTGGAGCCCGGCTCCAGCGCCGAGCTGGGCGGGCTGCGACCAGGAGACCGGGTGGTGGAGGTGAACGGTGAGAATGTGGAGAACGAAAAACACTATAAAGTAAGTGATGGTTAAATAAATGCTTATTTTTTTAACATTAGTGCTTTCGTGGTAAAAAAAACAAATAGGCCAGGAGAGACTTTCTGAGGGATAAACAATGAGTTCTGTACCTGTTAGACCTGCTTTTTTTCCTGTCCTGAGAAGGGGGAGCAGGGGGGGGGGGGCTGCTTAAATGGGTCAATGTGAGCATTGTGTAATGGAATCACTAGGTGTCTTTGTTCAGTGCCAGAAGGTCAGTTTTAGGGTGAACAGGACGATACCAAATTCGTCTTAAGAACCTTGTAACTCCTCTCTCCTCCCTGCAGGTGGTGGAGCGTCTCCGTGAAGTTCCCCACCGCACCAAGCTGCTGGTGGTGGACAGCGACACGGACGACTACCTCCGCGCCTGCGGCCTGCGCTGCACCGAGGACCTGGCGATCGAGATGGGGACGCTGTCCCCGCGGCCTTCGCCCGGTCCCACTCCTTCTGCTTCACCGAGAGAGAATTCACCGTTCACACCCAAACTCAACCAGATACACTTCCTTTACCCTCACACTGCCAACTCGCCCGCACACAAGACCTCACAAGAGATCAAGAGATACTCTGTCACATCGAGCACAGGGCCAGACACAGAGGTAAGCAGCGACACATCGGATCCTTTTTTCTGGGATCTAATCTGCTCACTAAAGATCCACATGTGCTTCTAAAGATTATCTGCACAGCTTTTATTAGAAGACAAAAGGAGGGAAGGGTCAACTGTCTGAGGTCTGAGGGTCAGCTCAGGTCTGCAGAGAGCCAGTGAGATGCTGTGTTAAGAGCGTGCGTGACACTGAACCTGTGCTCTGACCTGATGTCTGTCTGTCACTAATCTGGAATTGAGCACTGCTGTTATTCCAGCACTAAGCTCAAGTGCACTGAGGGGGGGGAGATAAGCTAAGGAAATTAATTCAAACCATGGTGTGAGAAAATACCCAGTCACTGCTTTTTCAAAAGTTAAGGTTGGCTGGATGGAAATAAGAATCATAGTGATTTTAATTGAGCTGAATGCCTTGCACAAGCACCGTTATTAAAGCCAACATGTGTCTACAACGTTCTTTGTGGCGCATGAAAGTTTGAAAAGGAGTGCAGGGGAAACAAATTTAACTGTGAATGACACAGCAGGTTTAAACTGGTTTCTCCTTCTATGGCGTTTAATAGTCCTATTTATAACTTTTCCCGCCATTCAAACATCTTCTTTACAAGTCGCTGTTGTCGCTGAGGCCTTCTAGCATTTTAAATGCACATTGTATTCAAAGAGCGCCGTGTCTTCGTGCTTACGGATCGCTGCCTGGCAAACCAACGTGGGATTTTTCCCACCTGACTGGCAAGATAAACCCCGGCTCACCCGACATGCCTGCTAAAACACACAGAACTGTGGGTACTTTCCAGTGAGATTAAGTGCAAAGTGGTGTGATTAAGTGTGCGGTTAGGTGGAGGTGTAAGGCATTTTTGACAAAATGGGATTGAATGTCTGCTGGACGGAGGGATCAGATAGCAAACAATCAAACATAGATAAGTATCTGTTTTTTGTTGTTTATTTCGGACTGGAGGCTCAATATCTCCCTGGGAACTTTGCAACGCTAGCAAATACACACAAACCAACACAAATCCCCTCATTTCTGTGCCGGCGGTGGGACTTGGCAAAAGCGAGACATCGGCGTAACGTCTCTCTGTTACAACCAGGAGCTGTCTGTCAGAGACGGAGCTCCGTGTTTGGGCTCAAAACAAAGTGGACCAGGATCCGGTGGTACAGACCCTCAAGTCAGTCTGCCACCTGTTTAGCCGAAGGCAGGGTAAATACAGGCTGCCCTTTGGCCGGCCATCGCGTCCGTCTCAATCAGTTTTTGTTCAGAGGTTCAGATCAACACCATACGCAGTAACAGCAGCACCCATTGAATATGCCTCCAACACTGGATGCAAATATGAGCTGAACGAAGCTTTGACCAAGACCTCAATAGGCTTCAAAAAGGTACTTTGAAGTAGCATCCTCAGTATTGAAGTCCTGTCGAGGGCCGTTGAGTCTGTGCTTTTCCACCATTAATGTAGCTGACAAATGGCTGTTAAAATGCCTTTTTAGCGACCGGCTTTGTTAAAGGGTTTATTAGATATTCATTTGGTACTTTTGTCACCTATCACAAACGTACTGATCACAAATAAAATCATCTCTGCCGAGTGGTATGATGATGCCAGTCATCATTTTCGTCACAATTTAGCGGCTACAACCAAGAGGCTATTGTGGCTTGTTAATCCAAGGCCCGAGCTTTGTACTGTACGTAATCACTCCGGCTCTTCTCACCACTTCTGTGACATCCGTCCCGGCACATTCACATTGTACATGTAAATAGATAGACGCAGTTTAATCTTATTCTTATTGTGGCATCAGATGCCCTTATATACTAGTCTTACGTAACGACAGTGGTGCTACGACAAGCAGCAGTCTACAGTAGGTCCAACACACTTCCCTCACACTCTCTCTCTCTCACTCACACACACACACACACACACACACACACACACACACACTCTCACACACACACACACACACACACTCTCACACACACACACACACACACACACACACACACGCACGCACACAGGAATAAAACACCTTATCTTCTTATTAAGTCTTCTATTATTTTTCCTGTTAGATTTGTGGTATTTGACACATCTGTAGAATACTACAGGCAATTGCAGTAATTCCTGCCATTAGTACAATAAGATATTAAATTGAAAGTATTGATTTGACACTAAAACTTGATAAATATTCAAATTAATTTCTATTTAATCATTTGATCTATAATATGTCAGAAAATAGTGAAATATGCCCGCCACATCTTTCCAGAACCCACGAGACAACTTGAAATGACAATTAAAAAAAAAAAAGTATATACAAGATCATAAACCAAAAATAATATATATATTTTTTTTTTTTTACTTTACTTTACGACTTTTTCCGACTGCAACATGGAAACACCTGTAGCAACTAGTGCATATTTACAACAGGACAAAAATAGTGACCATGGTGGAAATAGTCCATACTGTTGACTCCTTAATGTCCTCCACTTAGCCCTCTGCACTTATATCACAAGCTCTGGCTGTGTTCATACCTGAATTAGTGTTCCGAACTAAATCACAATCTGGTGAAATCCAGCACAGAAGTCGTAACTTCTTCTCTTGTGGAGCTTGTCAGATTCTGACTCTTCGGCATAAAGGTGTTTATTAATCGTTTTTTTATGCAATAGTTGGTGGTGGTGTTATTATTTTATTGCATGAGGAAAAAACATTGAGTGTCACTCAGAACTTCACAGGGAAATGATGCACCCAAAATGTAGTATACATTTTAAGCAAGTTTTTGAAAGTTTGAACTTGTTTTCCTATTTAACAAATATTTTTGAATGCATGTGAACACTTTATTTTGGTACTTATTTTTTTCTATAAAAAGCAGCCATTCATCTGGAAACTCTGCAGGCTCTTGGCAGTGGTTTGAGTTCAATCCACCAAAAAGAATATCAAATCGACATTGATTTATTTTGTCAAGCTCATATTCACCCTGCAAGTTAAAAACAGAGCAGACTATTCACATTAATCCACACTTAAAATGCATTGAAGCGCATGCATATTGTAATTGTGATTGATTACACAATCTACATCTGTCTTGGAAACCTATGGTTCTGCAGGTGTACCCAATGAACTTACACAGTTAAGACATTTAAATGTGGTTTTCTCCAATGTTCTATTTGTGTTCATTTGTGTCCCATTGCAGCTGCAGGTGCATCCCTCACCAGAGCCAGCGGCTGGGCTCCACCTCCTTCCCCGTTTGTGCCACCTGGTGAAGGGAGACCACGGCTACGGCTTCAACCTTCACAGTAACAGGACAAAAGATGGACAGTTTGTTCGTTCGGTGGACCCCGGCTCCGCTGCTGAGGGTGGAGGCATCAGGCCTGGAGACAGACTAGTGGAGGTAAATACCAAGCACACACACACACACACACACATGAAAATAAATGGGCCAGAGTATTCATGCAGACTTCATTAATCAACCTTGTCACATGGTACATTTGAGTGAATTCATGGGAAAAAACACTCCAGCCTTCCCATAATAATCAGGGCGGCACACTGATTTGAGGTTTGATTGGATTGGAGCGGATAAACAGGATGTAGGGTTAGCGGGGGGACAGGAGTGTTTCTCGAACTGGAACAGAAAAGTCAATAGTTATGAATCCAATTGCAGAGGAAGGGCTTGTGTTCTCACAAAATACCGTGTGGCAAAAATACGAAGATTTCCTACTGCATCTGGGCGCCTTTTCTGAATGCTTTTCTAGCTATTATGACCCACAAGCACCTTAAAAATATAGCTTACACGTGATTTGACATCGAAGCAGAAAAAGCAAAGCAATTAAAACAAAACAACAGAAAGATCAACAGTGAGGCCCCACAAAGCGAGAGAAAGCGAGCTAAGCCCTAAAAAACGTCTCAAATCACAGATCTGTTTCTGGTCTGTGAAGAGAAGACTTCCTGCTTCCTAACCTCTGCCCCGTCTCATACCTCTCTCCTTAGGTTGTCGTTTCCTTGTCCCTTCTCCTTCTTCCCTTTCCTCCAAAGTTTCTGTTTCTTCTGACTTCCCCGTTTCCTCTGTCTCAGGTGAACGGGGTGAACATTGAGGGCCTGAGGCACTCAGAGGTGGTGGCGCTCATTAGAGCCGAGGGGGAGAAAGTGAGCATCCTAGTGGTCGACCAGGAGACCGACCAGCTCTTTCACAGACTGGGGATGCGACCAACCAGCAGCCAGGTCAAAGGTCAGGTTTTACACACACACACACACACACACATCTATGCTGTATTAATTCTCCAAGCAAAATGTTTCAAAAGCACTGTTTCCTCCTTCTCTCAGAGGTCCATCTGGAAGGATCTGCCACAGAAAGCGCCCCAAACAGCCCGTCTCCCACCACTGACCTGCCCGCCTCAGATCAACCAGTCATGAAGATCACAGTGACAAACTCCCCGACCACAAGTACATCCCCAAAATCCTTATCAGATGGGAGCTCGGCTTCTGTGTCCTCGAGAAGCTCCATCACGCAATCAGAGCTCAGCAGCTCGGACATGAGCTTCCAGGTGACTAAAATGATGTAACAAACGGAGCCGAAAACGTGAGTTTTTTGCGTGTGTGTGTGTGTGTACGTGAAACATGTACGTTTGTGTATATTGCAGGTCCACGATGAGGACGACGGGCGCGTTTTGGACCCCTTCATGGACAGTGGCCTGCGTTTCAGTCCCACCGCTGCTGAGGCTAAACTCAAGGCCCTGGCCGGCCGCAACAAGAAGAGAGCTCCTGCTATGGACTGGAACAAGAAACATGAGACCTTCAGCAACTTCTGACCCCAGAACACAATGAACACATATGAAGAAGACGAGCAACAATGCCATAGCACGAGAAATACCTTTTGAATTCTTCTCTGTTCATGTTATAATCTTTAATACTGTAACGCACGGTGCAAGAAAGAGAAATGTGAAAAGGAAAAAGAAGCCAGTTTTAATATTATGAATAATAATAGTGATATTCCTAAATCATGTTCTGAGATATCATTTTACTGCATCTATAAGGATCTATAAGGACAAATTCTGTTGATGTGTCACAGATCTTGTTTAATGCAGTGTATATGTACACTTTTCTTTTGTTTTTCAAAGTAACAGTTTCATGTCAATTTAGAAGTACAACACTCATCACAACCAAGTCCTGAAGTAGTTATACTGACATTTTGTTTGTCAATTTAATGTAGCATATCACAAAAATGGACAAGGAGGAGGCAAAGTTATGAAATGTGATGTTCACCTCAGTGCTTCTCTCTAAAGGAAAATACCTAAAAGACAGAAGAGAAACGTCAGCACTCTGATCTAGTGACGTTTTTGAGTGTTTTCTCTCACAAATGTTCACGATTGAAACTTCTCACAATGTAAAAATAAACTTTCAAAATATTTGTAAAGGCCACCGTTCAATTTGGGTTCTTAATATTTAGTGAAATGTGCCATAAGTTGGATGAGCCACCCTTTGGTACCCGGTATTCACGATAAACGACGATTCTAGAACCGACCGACCTTTTAACGCTCTCATCCACGTGAAGAGCAGGCAGGTCAGTAGGCGGAACCTCGCCTCTTATCTACATTGTACAGGACCTGCGCTTCAAAAGCATCTCGGCCCAAAAGGCGGAGGCTTCAATATTGTGTTGTGTGTGTAAGAGGGCACAGTCATCAGTTGGGCATCCTCTCAATAGGTGTAGTCTCGTAGAGTTTCGTAGAGTTACGCGAACCAAACCACCGATCTCTTTACTGCACTGACGCACAACAAGCTACTTTCTGTAGCCGGAAGCTCAGCTTATGGAATAGTGCAGTGATAATTCTGTCACGCGAGCGTGTAAACATTTCATGTCTATGCTCACAAACACACAAAACTCACCAAAAATCACTAAAATATCAAAAACGCATAATTTGCATCGGTGGAATAAAGTTTGTGTGGGGTGTTACATGTGGAAATACTGAACTGTAGCTTGACGTGTGAGGGCTGTCTATATTAAAAGGCGCATTAGACCCAAACACTTATTTCTCTCAAAAAAAAGACACCAGACTGGCAACTCTAACATCCGGCCTCCAGCATGCACGACATGATTTATTTAAAAACCCCAGAGATTTTACATACAGAAACTATAAATCATATAAAAGGCTCAACGTATTTTATTTCCATTGACTGGCAAACTGAAACCCACAGAAAAACGAAACGGTACCAAAGTCTGCCTGGCAAATTGCAACAGTATCATGCTCCTTAGAATATAAAGAGAATTTAGAAAAGATATTTCCTCATCTCCCGTCATCCCTCCTTTGTTCCCATTGTCAAATTTAGAAATCGGTCACACACCTCCTTTCCTCTAAACTTATTGCAATAATGAATCTGTTACTGAAGCAGACTATGTGACGTGACTGTAGCACCAGCCAAAGAAAACGTACACTGACCCATCAGATACAAAATCACAACCAAAAAACAGCTAAGTTTTAAAAAGCAACCAAAACATTATGTTACCAGCTTTGAATAAGGAGACTGGGATTCAGATTGTCTTAGTAGTGATTCATGATGGAGTTGATTATCTCAGTCAGTCTAGGATAAAAGAAGGGGCCATATAAGTGATGTGTCTCCTAATAGTCCGGCCCGCTGAAAACTCCAGGAAATTAAAAGAAAAAAGAAATATATCCCTGTATCCAGGCTTGTCTGGAGAAATTCTCTATTGGCCCGAACTTCTTTATCATAATGAGGCAGGTTATTGATTATCGAATCAGCATCGTCTCTACCTTATTGTCCGGTGCTCTTTGGCAGTGTACTAGCGCTAGTTTCTCTTTAGATATATTGTGCTCTCCTCTAGGGAATTGAGGTGGTATGTGGGGGTGTAAAGAGCATCCGACTATTCTCCAAGATGTCTCTCTCTCACACAGACACTCACACACACACAGACACACACACACACACACACACACACACACACACACACACACACACACACACACACACACACACACACACACACACACACACACACACACAGTGAAAACATTTACATAGAATATGCACACAAAGCAGGCATGTGCACCCCTTCAAACTAAACTTTATCGCACCCCTAATGGGCACAAATCACACAACTACCACCAACTATCCAAAACATGCTCATTGTCCAAAAACTGAACTCATGCGCACTTTCTCATGCTGGATGTCAAACACATGCATGATCTCATACACGTACACCAAACTCCTCAGCAATATGGCAAAGTTAGTCATTGTAAAAGTGCTGATTAGTCCCAGTTTCACAGAGTTGTTTTTATTTGCCATTTAGTATTGGAATATTTTTGCCAGTCAAAGACACTTAACTTCACAGTGCAACACAGTATGACAAACGCTGACATTAGGGTCAAGACATATCATATGGATGAGGTTAAAAAAAAGTCCATACAAAACAAAAAGTTAAAATAAAAAGTGCAAAAACAACTTAACAGTCACTGAAAAAAGCATTAATTCCATTATCTTTTTTTGCGTTAATTGTGCAAATTTAAGTCCACTATAGAAACAAAAATTATCAGTAGCAGCAAAAACAAAAAAAGAAAAAGAATATGGACCATTTTTAAAACATTTTAAAGATCACAATGACATTGCCAATTACTGTTTTACTTAAGATATCTATATAGCATCAAATGGATATCAGTACGAATGTAGACATACACACTTACTCATTCTTGCACACGCACACTAACACTTGGTCACAGTTAACAGGTGCCAAGGACATCGCGGTGGGAGTCAAGTTTTAGCTCGGTACCATATCAAAACAATACATATTTCAGACACAGTTAACACAAAATGCCAAAGTGAGGATTTACAAACTGCGCACACGCACACACACACACACACACACAAAACCTCAAAGAGGACAACTAAGGATGTGATTTGTCTTGTACGGTTTCCTCCCCTGTGGTCAGAAATGTTTTAGCCCTAATCCTCCCTCACTAGAGGAATGGTTTCTGTGAAGCCGCGAGGAGAGACACTATTCTTTTTCTCTCGCTCAGGTAGAAAATGGGACAGGAGTATGTCTGATAGATGGATAGCTCTGTGAAGCAGCACTGAAAACGAAAGGTAGGATACAGAAACGGAAAGCAAGATTTTTCTTACAGCTAGTAAGTAGAATTTAGTGGCTACAGATGAAGTCATTCATATTGAATCCTATTCCCCAGAAAAGAAAAATATCACCCAGAAAACAAGTGGAGACCCCGGTCTGTCGGTGTCAGTCTGTCCCTAACTACACATAGTAGGTCTCGAAATGTCTAAACAATAGTGCCCCTCGCAGTCAGTTCCATGTACTGTGTATGTGTGTGTGTGTGTGTGTGTGTGCGTGCGCGTGTGTTTTGGTCTGTCTTTGTCGGTCTAGCTATTGGTTACTCCCATGTTTAGCAATCCCATCAAAATCTTAACTGTCCCTGTTCTCCCAGAAGCAGACCTTTTTGTGGCTCTCTTTCCCTGCACTGTAACAGATATCTCTCCCTCTCCCTCCCCCCCGCCTCCCTCTTCCCTCCCCCCCCTGCCTCCCTCTTTCCCAACTTGTCTAAGCCTCCATGTCTCCTCCATGTCCTACTTTGTGTCCCTCGCTATCTGTCCCTACCAGTTAGTTTTTCTGTGTTGGGTCCCTGCCTAGTTAATCTAGAGGAGTCCCTCTTATCCCACCCTCCCACCCGCCCACCCTCCCTCTATGGACAAACACATAGGGCGTGGGGGCCGTCCGTCAGGGGAGCGGCAAAAAGCGTCCCTCTCACCCCCCCCCAGATCAGGGCAGTGCAATACACAGATGGATGAGTTTCCCATTCACCCTCCTCCTGCTGGCTCACCTAGGAGGACGGACACAAGGAGTTTACTTCAGTATGAACATTTGTATACATTAAGGGAGGTGATTGTATAGATAATGAAGGATGAAGATGACATCTTGGTTACCTCTTGGGTGGCTGTAGAGAATCTAAACGCCGTAGCAGGCTGCCAGTCTCTCCTTCAGCAGTGGCGGAAACTGCTCTGAGAACTGCTGCCAGTTCTCCTCCCCAACCTGCTCCTTAAAACCATGCAGGATCTGAAATGATGGAGGTCTTATTTTATTTCGTTCCTTCAGGGTTTTATTTCAGGCAAGTCACACATACATTTTCCTGTGCAATAGTATTTGTACATTTAATACAATGTTGTATTTTTTTACTTTCATTGACAATATTCCTCAATATCGTGCTTAATATTACATCTCTATTTTTGTTTCTTTTGGGACTAGTGTTTTTATACACTTTAAAGTAGTTAACTTTGTTGTTCTTTTTTCCTGTTTTTACTTCTGTTTTTCATCTTTCTGCTCTTCTATGATCTTTTACACAATTATCGTTTTGTTCATAAATGTATTCCACTGTTCTTTGCCATTCTTATGCAATATTTTATCAAACTCTGCCACAGCAATTTCCTTCAAGATAAATTAAGTTATGTCCTTGTTTACATTTCTTGTCTTAAGGAATATTAAACTCCTTAAAGCGGAGGCATACAGTGCTCCTCAGTATGCTGTGGACTCTACCAGAGATCGAGCGGCTCACCTTGCAGAACATGTCTCTCAGGTCGTCCTTAGGATTCACCCAGGAGGCTACAGCATCACAGAAGAAGATGAAGTCCTGAACACACAGGAAGAGCGGAGAAGGTTTCATCAGAAAAGCCTACAACTTCCAGGGTGGCCGTAACTTAATAACCATAGCGCCAATGTCTCACCTGCACCACGCCTCCTGGGTTCACGCCGATCATCATGCAAATCCCGCGGAAAGCGGAGTCTTTCTCCTCGTTGTCTCTGATGTTCCGCAGAGACGTACACCTGCCACATGCAATGTTACCCAATCAGCAGCGGTTTGATTTCTCTATCCTGTCACTAATTACAATGTGTCTCTCTTATTTGTTTTTGAGAGAACATTTATAAAGTGGGAACAAGTGAGCTCAAACAAGTTAAGTTGGGAACAGCCTGTTGCCGTCTTTCTGCGTGGGAGGTCAGACTTTAGTGTTTCATTCTCACGACTTGCCGATTCCAATCATTTCAAGAATATATCATATAAGAATTTTAATACTGTAGCCCTTGTAATGCTGTTTGCAGCACTATTGCACAAAAGAAGAGGGAGGAGAAGAAGAACAGAACTCAAAGCATATTGCTTGATAGTGCCAAAAGAACTGCCACTAATGTGTCTCCCAAGTACAGAGAGGAGTAATGCTCAGAGAGGAAAGAGAGAATGTGGTGCGACCAGAGGATGACAGACATGTGTTGTGATATAGTGCAACTGTGCAGATATATATATATATATATATATATATATATTTATTACATACACAAACAAAGATGTTTCATATTTAAGACGAGGAAAAAGAGGATGAATATTCCCTCACCAGGGTCGGATAAACTGCGG